GTTGTCATATCACCATCCTCATCACTAATACAATACGGAATCTGCAAGCGGCTCACCGAATGACTGTACTCGAACGAAGCGAATCATATTTCATAACATCCATGGAATTTTTTTGGTTCTTTCTAGAATATGCGAGCAACAAAAATGAGCATCCATAAATTTTAGGATGCTTTCGACACGAAACAAACTTCACTGAGATGCTTCTGCTTTCTGAACAAACGTTTGTACGTAATGTGTTTGTGTTCTCTGCTCGTATTTTATGTCACATAGTCAGTGCAAGAGTGATGTCCGAACAGATCGATACTAACGTAAGTACACGCCGATAGGCGAAAATTCAGTTTACATTCTATATTTTCTTATCAGAAACCGAACGAGACGATCCATTAGGTGTAAAGGTCAGATCAACTGAGAATTCAGGCACTACTTATCAGGTCAGTTAAGAAAATGGCAATTCAAAACCTTTAATAAAATAGTATTCCTAAAAGTACTAGTGTGTGTCTTGAATGGGAACTTCATCCGAAAGCACTGCCTAAAATGTGGACTCATCTGAATAACAATACCATCTAAACATACAACAAGTGAAGCACGCACATAAAATACGCAGAAAATGCTCATTCACGAAGCACATAATGTCATACACCGAAAACCCCACGGAAAATACAATAATTCTCCTCATGTAAAAGACTTCAATAAAAGCCTGTTGAACTTCAGTACTTATTGTATTCTTACTTATTGTAATGTTGTAGAATATAGGTCACCGACTTATATTCGAGAGAATACGGTGAGCATGAGAATATTGCTCAGGTGTCAGCACTGAATCATCCGTTCACCTCGAGCTGTTCCAAATCAACGATGCACTTCATTATATTCCTAATAGCAACTGACATTTCACGGAGAGTACTTAAATGAGATCGCAGCGCATACTTCGTGTTCACATGATCGAAAAGCTGCAATCCTTTCCTCGGCACTTGTGTCGTTTCCTGGACTCACATATCGAATCAGTTCCTGTTCACAATTCCACACTCGCCATCGCTTCGCATATCCCTCGGCCATTCCCTTACTGTGACATGTGACCGTACAAGGCGACCATTCAGTCCAGCATTGCGCACCCTTTAAAGGTGACCTTTTAAACTTTAAACGGCAACAAGAATTAAAGCGACCTTTTCTGAGAGAGTTAATGAATTGCTTAAAATTGAAGAACGTACGATTCAGTTCGACCAATGAGTACTGAAATAATTCACTTTGCGACACTAACACTTAAGTGAGTATAGGTTTAAACAAATGATCAGCGAATAATCG